TACAGCTTGTTCTCTGTGTGGATGACATCCAGCAGCCTGGGGACACACGGGGACAGCTTGGGGACAGAGACAGGGACATGGGGACAGCCATGGGACACACGGACAGGGACATGGGGACAGCCATGGGGAGAGGGACACAGGGACTCGAACACCAGGTACAGCTTGTTCTCCGTGTGGATGACATCCAGCAGCCTGGGGACACACGGGGACAGCTTGGGGACAGAGACAGGGACATGGGGACAGCCATGGGACACAGGGACAGCCATGGGACACAGGGACAGGGACATGGGGACAGCCATGGGGAGAGGGACACAGGGACTCGAACACCAGGTACAGCTTGTTCTCCGTGTGGATGACATCCAGGAGCCTGGGGACATGGGGACAGCTTGGGGACATGGGGACAGCACATGGGGACAGCCATGGGACACAGCCTGGGACACACGGACAGCCCTGGGACACGGGGACAGGGACATGGGGACAGGGACACCAGGTACAGCTTGTTCTCCATGTGGATGACATCCAGGAGTCTGGGGACACATGGGGACAGCTTGGGGACATGGGGACACAGCCTGGGGACAGAGACAGGGACACACGGACAGCCATGGGAGAGAGGGACAGGGACACGGGGACACCACAGGGCCTGGCACGGCCACAGCACATCCTGGGGACACCCCTGGTCACGGAGGTCACCTCCATGACCCCCCAGGACCCCCCAAAACCCTCCTGGGGACCCCTCCTTGGTGACATCTCCCCCCCAGAGCCCCCCAAGACACCCCCAGGACACTCTTGGGACCCCCCAAATCCCCCCAGGACCCCCCAGAACACCCTCAGGACACCCCTGGGGACCCCTCCTCAGCGACATCTCCATCAAAACCCCCCAGGACCCCCCAAAGACCCCACCCAAAGACCCCCAGGATCCCCCAAAACACCCCCAGGACATTCCTGGGGATCCCCCCTCAGTGTCATCTCCCCTCAAACCCCCCAGGACCCCCCAAGACACCATCAGGACACCCTCAGGACCCCCCTGGGGACCCCTCCTCAGTGACATCTCCCCATAAAGCCCCCCAGGATCCCCCAAAACACCCCCAGGACACTCTTGGGGACCCCTCCTCAGCGACATCTCCCTCCAAACCCCACCAAGACACCCCCAGAGCCCCCAAAACCCCCTCAGGACCCCCCCCCCCCCCGAAGCCCCCAGACCCACTTGACGATGTTGGGGTGGTTGAGCTCCTTGAGCAGCGAGATCTCCCTGATGGCCGTGCTGGGGACACCCTCGGTCTCCCTGCGGTGACAACGGCACGGGGGGGGTCCGTGAGCCTCGGGGACCCCCCCGGGACCCCCCCGAGACCCCCGGGGACCCCCACTCACGTGTCCAGGCGGATCTTCTTGAGGGCCACCACCTCGCCCGTCACCTTGTTGCGCGCCTTGTAGACCACGCCGTAGGTGCCCTCGCCGATCTTCTCCACCTTCTGGAAGTTCTCCATTGGGGAGGGGGCGGCACCGGGGAGACCCCCGGGATTGGGGGGAGACCCCCGGGTGACACCGGGAATGGGGGGGGACACCGAGGGGACAGCGGGAATGGGGATAAGGGGGGGGGGGGGGGGTTTGGGGGGGTTTTGGGGTGGTTCTGGTGGTCTTGGAATTGGGGGGGTGGTCTCAAGGTGGGGGGAGGAGCTTCGGGGGTGTCCCCGGTGGTGGCACGGGGGTGACAAGGGGGTGTCACCGGGGAGGGGGGAATCTGGGTGTCCCTGGGGGTCCCTGGGGGTCCTGGGGGGGTTCTGGGGGTCCCGGTTGGAATATCGGGGATGGGGGAAGGGCTTGGGGGGGGGTCCCGGTTGGGATATCCGGATGGGGGAGGGGCTCCGGGGGTGTCCCGGGGGGGTTCCGGGGGTCCCGGTGGGGATATCCGGGATGGGGGAGGGGCTCCGGGGGGGTCCCGGTTGGGATATCCGGGTGGGGGAGGGGCTCCGGGGGTGTCCCCGGCCCCGGGGGGGGTCCCTGGGCGGGTTCTGGGGGTCCCTGGGTGTCCCCGGGGGTCCCTGGGGGGGGTCCCTGGGGGTCCCGAGCGCCGCCGCCTCCCCCCCGCTCCCGCCAAAGCCGCGGCGGCCCCGCCCGCGCCGCTTCCCGCCTTGCCGCCGGCCACGCCCCCCGCGCCGCCGCGCATTGGCTGAGAGGGGAGTGACGTCAGAGGAGACGCGGGAGATCCCTTAAAGTGATAGTGACACTACCGGGAATGGGCGGCGGGGGGTGGGATCGGGACACCGGGGGGCCGGGACAGGGGACAAGGACAAGGACAGGGACAGGGGACGGGGATTGGGATCGGGACATTGGGGGACCGAGGCCAGGACCTAGGATTTGAATTGGGACATTGGGGACAGGGACAGGCACCGGAGCCGGGGATTGGAATCGGGACACCGGGGACAGAGACCGGGGACCGAAAATGGGAATAGGGACAGGCACCGGAACCGGGGGTTGGGATTGGGACATTTTGGACAGGGACCGGGACAGAGACTGGGATCGGGACAATGGGAACAGGGACACGGGATTGGAATCGGGACAGGGACCGGAACCGGACCGGGGAGTGGGACCGGGAATTTGGGGACCGGGATCGGGATTGGGACCGGGACCGGGACTGGGATCGAGATCAAGGACCGGGATTGGGATCGGGACCAGGACGGGACCGGTGATTGGGATCGGAACCGGGATTGGGATCCGGGACCAGGGATTGGAATGGGGACAGGGACCGGGACCGGGGACTGGGACTGGGATCGGGACCGGAATCAGGATCGGGATTGGGACCAAGGAGCGGGACTGGGACTGAGACCGGGACCGGAGATTGGAATTGGGATCCGGGACCGGAGATTGGAATACGGATCGGGACGGGGACCGGGGCCTGAGATTGGGATCGGGACCGGAATCAGGAGCGGGTTTGGGATCAGGATCGGGACCAATGACCGGGACCGGGGACTGGAATCGGGACCGGGGATTGGAATAGGGATCGGGACCGGGATTGGGATCGGGACCAATGACCGGGACGGGGTCGGGTCGGGCCCAGGACACCGCCGGCTCCGCCCGGGATGCTCGGGCAGCGCCGGGAGCGGACACCGGGACCGCAACCGGACACACGGGAGGGTCACGGGGGGACACACGGGGGTCACGGGGAGCGGCCCGGGGGGGACGCACGGGGGTCACGGGGCTCTCCGGGGTCACGGGGCTCGCCGCGCACGCACGAGCGGCCACACGCACCGGGAGAGCCCCGGGGGCACGGAAACGGCCGGGGAGCAAAGATCGGGGTCCCCCTCGTGTCACCCACCGGGATCGGGGTCCCCCTGTGCAATCGGGGTCCCCCCCGTGTCCCCTCCCGAGATCGGGGTCCCCTCGTGTGTCCCCCCAGGATCGGGGTCCCCCCCGTGTCACACACCGGGATCCGGGTCCCCTTGTGTGTGCAGAATTGGGGATCCCCCCCCTTTTTGTCATGATCGGGGTCCCCCCGTGTCACCCCCCCAGGATCGGGGTCCTCCTGTGACATAGGGGTCCCTTTGTGTCACCCCCGTGCCATTGGGGTCCCCCTGTGTGTCCCACCGGGATCGGGGTCCCCCCGTGCAATCGAGGTCCCCCCGTGTCCCCTCCCGAGATCGGGGTCCCCCGTGTGCCCCCCCCGGGATCGGGGTCCCCCCGTGTCACACACCGGGATCGGGGTCCCCTTGTGTGTGCAGAATGGAGGACCCCCCCTTTTGTCATGATCGGGGTCCCCCTGTGCCATTGGGGTCCCCCCGTGTGCCCCCCCCGGGATCGGGGTCCCCTTGTGTGTGCAGAATGGGGGACCCCCCCTTTTGTCATGATCGGGGTCCCCCCCGTGTCACCCCCCAGGATTGGGGTCCCCCACTCTCCCTAAACTCGGGGACCCCCTTGAGTGCCCCCCCCCGTGTGCAGAATTGGGGGACCCCCCCCGTTTTGCTCCCCCACTTTTCCCCCCCATGGCTCTGTCACCCCCCGCGACCCCCCAAAATCCCAAACAACACCAAAAAAACCCCAAAAAACCCCAAATCTCCATCCCTGGGGTCTCCATGATGGTGGGGCCGCCCCCTAAAAACCTCCTTAGTGAATTGGGGGGTCCCTATATCCCCCCTAAACCCCCCAAAACTCTGGGGGCGGGTCCCTAAATCCTCCCCAAACCCCCAAAACTGTGGGGTGGGGTCCCCATGTACCCCCCAAAACCCTCTCAGCGATTTAGGGGGGGGTCCCCATGTCCCCCCCCAGACCCCCAAAAATCTGGTGGGGGGGTCCCCATGTAACCCCCAAAACCCAAACCCCCTCACCGAACTGGGGGAGGGGTCCCCATGTCCCTCCCAGACCCCCAAAACGGTCCCGACGTCCCCCCCAAACCCCCAAAATGGTGGGGAAGAGGCTCCCTATGTCCCCCCAAAACTCTGGGGGGTGTCCTCATGTCCCCCCTGACCCCCATAACTGTGGGGTGGGGTCCCCATGTACCCCCCAAAACCCTCTCAGCGATTTAGGGGGGGTCCCCATGTCCCCCCCAGACCCCCAAAAATCTGGTGGGGGGGTCCCCATGTCCCTCCTTACCCCCATAACTGTGGTGGGGAATCCCCATGTCCCCCCCAGACCCCAAAACGGTCCCGATGTCCCCCCCCCAAACCCCCAAAATGGTGGGGAAGGGGCTCTCTATGTCCCCCCAAAACTCTGGGGCGGGTTCCCATGTCCCCCCTGACCCCCATAACTGTGGTGGGGGGGCTCCCCATGTGCCCCCCCCTCCCCCTCATCGTGTGACCGCGGGTGGCCCCACGTGAGTGGGGGCGGGGTCATGCAAATGAGCATTCCATTTTTTGAATGAGCGGGGGCGGGGTTATGCAAATGAATATCCCTTTTGGAGCGAGTGGCGGGGTTATGCAAATGAGCGCCCCCTATTTGTGCCGCTGTCGCCGCTGCCGGCGCCTCTGCCCCGGCCGAGCCGAGCGGGGAGCGCGACACGAGCGGGGACCATGAGGGGACTCGGGGCCATCGCGGTGCTGGGGGCGCTCCTCATCATGGCTGAGGCTCAGAGGAGTAAGTCGGGGGATTTTGGGGTGCAGGGGGGGCGTCAGGAGCTTCATTCAGTGGGGTTTTGGGGTGCAGAGCCCACCCTGAAAGGGAAATCCTTCATGGGGTTGGGTTGTACCCCGATAATCCCCATTTGGGGTTTGGATTAGAGGCATAAATGGCTTTTTTTTGGAGGGTCAGAGCTTCATCCTGTGGGGTTTTGGGGTGCAGAGCCCACCCTGAAAGGGAAATCCTTCATAGAGTTGGGTTGCACCCCGATATTCCCCCTTTGGGATGGGTTGTGGGGTCTCTGGGGGTGGTTTTGGGGTCCCTGGGGCTGGTTTGGGGTTTGGGTTAGAGGCATCAATGGGTTTCTTTTGGGGTGTGGGGGGCTCCTGGAGCTTCATTCTTTGGGGTTTTGGGGTGCAGAGCCCACCCTGAAAGGGAAATCCTTCACGGGGTTGGGTTGCACCCCGATATTTCCCCTCTGGATGTGGTTTTGAGTTAAGGTTGGTGGCATAAATGGGTTTTTTTGTGGTGTGGAGGGCGTCATCCTGTGGGGTTTTGGGGTGCAGAGCCCACCCTGAAAGGGAAATCCTTCATGGGGTTGGGTTGTACCCCGATAATCCCCATTTGGGGTTTGGATTAGAGGCATAAATGGCTTTTTTTTGGAGGGTCAGAGCTTCATCCTGTGGGGTTTTGGGGCGCAGAGCCCTCCCTTAAAGGCAAATCCTTTATGCAACTTTGTTGCACCCCAATAATTCCCATTCGGGGAGATTGGGGGGGGTCCCCAGGGGGGGTTGTAGGTTCGGGTTAGAGGCATAAATGGGGATTTTGGGGTGTGGGGGGCGTCTGGAGCTTCAACCTTTGGGGCTTTTGGGGTGCAGAGCCCCCCCTTTAAAGCTAAATCCTTCACTGACCTGGGTTGTACCCCGATAATTCCCATTTGGGGTTCGGGTTAGAGGCATAAATGTATTTTTCTTTGGGGGTTGCCGAGCGCCAGGAGCTTTTTTCTTTGGGGTTTTGGGGTGCAGAGCCCCCCCTTAAAGGCAAATCCGTCATAGAGTTGGGCTTGTACCCCAATAATTCCCCTTTGGAGTGGTTTTGGGGTTCCCGGGAGTGGTTTCGGGGTCTCTGGAAGTGGTTTTGGGGTCCTTGGGGTGGTTTTGGGGTCTCTGGGGGTGGTTGTGGGTTGATGTTGGTGGTGTAAATGGGTTTTTTTTTGGGTGGCGAGTGCCAGGAACTTCATTCTTTGGAGTTTTGGGGTGCAGAGCCTTCATGAAAGGGAGATCCTTCACGAAGCTGGGTTGAACCCCGATATTCCCATTTGGGGGTGGTTTTGGGGTTCCCGGGAGTGGTTTCGGGGTCTCTGGGGGTGGTTTTGGGGTTCCCGGAGTGGTTTCGGGGTCTCTGGGGGTGGATTTGGGGTCTCTGGGGGTGGTTTCGGGGTCTCTGGGGGTGGATTTGGGGTCTCTAGGGGTGGATTTGGGGTCTCGGGGTGGATTTGGGGTCTCTAGGGGTGGTTTTGGGGTCTCTAGGGGTGGATTTGGGGTCTCTGGGGGTGGTTTCGGGGTCTCTGGGGGTGGATTTGGGGTCTCTGGGGGTGGATTTGGGGTCTCGGGGTGGATTTGGGGTCTCTAGGGGTGGTTTTGGGGTCTCTAGGGGTGGTTTCGGGGTCTCTGGGGGTGGATTTGGGGTCTCTGGGGTGGTTTTGGGGTCCGACACTGGGGGGTCACAGGGGACTCTGCAGCCCCCCGATACTCGAGGGTCATGGGGGACCGTGCATCCCCCCTGACACTGAGGGACTCTGCAGCCCCCCAACATTGGGGCGATCTGGCAGCCCCCCGACCCTGGGGGGACCCTGCAGCCCCCCAAGACTGGGGGGGACAGGGGTGACCCTGCACCCCCCGACCCCGGGGTGTCCCCGTTCCATCCCGTTCCATCCCGTTCCATCCCGTCCCGTCCCGTCCCGTCCCGGCCCGGCCCGGCGCGGCTCAGCTGAGCGTCACATGCAGCGGCTTTGGGGCCATGTGACGGCTTTGGCCGCGCGTGGCTTGGCCCGAGCTCCGTCACGAGGGCCCCGAGTCCCCCCCGGGTCCCCCCCGATCCCTCCGAGACCCCTCCGAGTCCCCCCCGGGTCCCCCCAGGGTCGGGGGGACACCCCAGGGTGGGGGTGGCGGACCCCTGGCAGAGGGGAGACACTTGGGGCTTATGGGGGGGACACTGGGGACATTGAGGTGCTGAGAGTTGGGGACATGGGGGACCTGGAAATGTCCTGGGAGTGTCCTGGGAATGGGGGACATTGGGGACCTCAGTGACACCTGGGGACTTGGGGACATGGGGGACCTGGAAATGTCCTGGGAGTTGGGGACAAGGGGGACCTCGCTGACCCTGAGAGTTGGGGACATGGGGGACATTGGGGGACTTGTCAAACTCCCAAGAATTGGGGACGCAGGGGACCTGGCAGTGTCCTGAGAGTGGGGGACATGGGGGACATTGGGGACGTCACTGACCACCGAGAGCTGGGGACATGGGGGACATTGGGGACATTGGGGACGTCACTGACCACCGAGAGCTGGGGACATGGGGGACATTGGGGACATTGGGGACGTCACTGACCACCAAGAGCTGGGGACATGGGGGACATTGGGGACATTGGGGTCGTCACTCACCACCGAGAGCTGGGGACATGGGGGCCATTGGGGACATTGGGGACCTCAGTGGCACCTGGGACTTGGGGACATGGGGGACCTGGAAATGTCCTGGGAGTGTCCTGGGAATGGGGGACATTGGGGACATTGGGGACCTCAGTGACACCTGGGACTTGGGGACATGGGGGACCTGGAAATGTCCTGGGAGTGTCCTGGGAATGGGGGACATTGGGGACATTGGGGACCTCAGTGACACCTGTGACTTGGGGACATGGGGGGACCTGGAAATGTCCTGGAGTTGGGGACAAGGGGGACCTCGCTGACCCTGAGAGTTGGGGACATGGGGGACATTGGGGGACTTGTCAAACTCCCAAGAATTGGGGACGCAGGGGACCTGGCAGTGTCCTGAGAGTGGGGGACATGGGGGACATTGGGGACGTCACCGACCACCGAGAGCTGGGGACATGGGGGACATTGGGGACATTGGGGACGTCACTGACCACCGAGAGCTGGGGACATGGGGGACATGGGGGACATTGGGGACGTCACTGACCACCGAGAGCTGGGGACATGGGGGACATTGGGGACATTGGGGTCGTCACTCACCACCGAGAGCTGGGGGACATGGGGGACATGGGGGACATTGGGGACCTCAGTGGCACCTGAGAGTTGGGGACACTGGGAACCTGGGCAGTGTCTTGGGAGTGTCCTGGGAATGGGAGACATTGGGGACATTGGGGGCCTCAGTGACCCCTGGGACTTGGGGACATGAGGGGCCTGGCAGTGTCCTGGGAGTGAGGGATGTTGGGGACCTCACTGACCCCTGAAAGTTGGGGACATGGGGGGCCTGGGAGTGGGGAAATGGGGGACATGGGGATGTGGCAATGTCCTGGGAGTGGGGGACATTGGGGACATTGGAGACCTCACTGACCACCAAGAGTTGGGGACATGTGAGGACTTGGGAGTGTCCTGAGAGTGGGGAACATTGGGGACCTCACTGACACCTGAGACTTGGGGACATGGGGGGACCTGGCAGTGTCCCTGGGAGTGGTGGACATTGGGGACATGGGGGATGTGGCAGTGTCCTGGGAGTAGGGGACATTGGGGACATGGGGTACCTGGAAATGCCCTGAGAATGGGGGGGACACGGGGGGACAGGTGGGGACCTGGCAAGGATCTGAGAGTGGAGGGGACATGGGGACCCTTCAGCCCCATATGAGGGGGATGAGGGGGGATGTGACAAATCCCTGAGAGTTGGGGACATGGGGGGGACATGACAGCCCCCAAAAATGGGGGACACGAGGGACACGTGGGGCCCTTCATCCCACTGAGCATAAGGGACATGTTGGGGACATGACAGGCCCAAAAACTGGGGACACAGGGGACATGACAACCCCCAAAAATAGGGGACATTGGAGGACATGAGGGACCCAACAGCCCCTTGGAAATGGGGACATGGGGGACATGACAAACCCTCAAAAATGGGGGTCACTGGGGAAATGTGGGACCCGACAGCCCCCCGAAAACGGTGCCACGCGTGCCCCCGTGTGGCGCTGTCGCTGAGCGGGTGTCGCCGTCGCTGTCCCCGCAGGAGCCGCCGGGCGGGGCCGCGGCCGCGGGCGGGGCCCGGCCTGGGGCGGGCAGGGGCGGCCGGGGCCGTTCGGAGCCTGGGACTCGGCGCTGTTCCCGCCCTGGCAGCGCGACAGCCGCGACTGCTGGACAGGTGAGTGCCACCCCCGGGGCCGGGTCACCTGCCCGGGGTGGCCGTGTCACCCACCCCCAGTGACCGTGTCACCTACCTGGGACAGCCGTGTCACCTAACCAGTGTGGCCGTGTCACCCATCCGCAGTGGACCGTGTCACCCACCCATGGTGACCGTGTCACCTGCCCAGTGTGGCCGTGTCACCCACCCGCAGTGACCGTGTCACCTACCTGGGACAGCCGTGTCACCTGCCCAGGGTGATCGTGTCACCTACCCGGGGTGTCATCTACCGGCCGTGTCATCTACCTGGGCTGGTCATGTCCCCGGTGGGGTCCGGCCATGTCACTGAGCCCCACCCCAATGATGTCCCCGAGCAGGTGGTGATGTCACCTGCCTAGGCTGGCTGTGTCACCTACCCAGGCCGTATCACCCACCCGGGCTAGCCATGTCACCAGAGGGATCTGGCCGTGTCACCTGCCCACAGTGACCGTGTCACCCACCCGACCAGCCGTGTCACCCACCCGGGCTGGTTCTGTTACTGGGAGGGTCCAGGCTGTGTCACCCACCCGTGGTGACCGTGCCACCCACCTGGGCTGGCGCTGTCACCACGGGGGTCTGGCCATGTCACTGAGCCCCACCCCAATGGTGTCCCCGACACCCGGCTGGCCGTGTCACCCACCCATGGTGACCGTGTCACCCACCCATGGTGACCGTGTCACCAGGGAGGTCTGGCCGTGTCACCCCACCTGGGCTGGCCCTGCCATTGATACCCCCCTGGAGGCTGTCCCCGCACAGGTGGCGATGTCACCTACCCGGGATGGCCGTGTCACTGACCTGTCCCCTCTGCTGTCCCCGCACAGGTGGCGATGTCACCTTCGACATCAGCAACGACGCGCCGACGCTGGCGGGCGCCCAGGCCACGTTCTCCATCGCGCTGCGCCTGCCGGGCACGCAGCGGGCACTGCCCGACGGCCGCGTGGTCTGGGGGCAGAACTGCACCGTCAACGGTCTGGGAGCCCCCGAAACACCCTGAAACTACCCCAAAAACCACCCTGAAACAACCCCAAAAACCACCCTGAAACTACCCCAAAAACCACCCTGAAACAACCCCAAAAACAACCCTGGAACTACCCCAAAAACCACCCTGAAACAACCCCAAAAACCACCCTGAAACAACCCCAAAAACCACCCTGAAACAACCCCAAAAACAACCCTGAAACAACCCCAAAAACAACCCTGGAACTGCCCATAACTAACCCAAAAACCACCCCTGGAACTGCCCCCAAAAACCACCCTGGAACTACCCAAAAACCACCCTGAAACTGCCCATAACTAACCCAAAAACCACCCTGGAACTGCCCCAAAACCACCCTGGAACTACCCCAAAAACCACCCTGAAACAACCCCAAAAACAACCCTGAAACAACCCCAAAAACAACCCTGGAACTGCCCATAAACTAACCCAAAAACCACCCTGGAACTGCCCCAAAAACCACCCTGAAACTGCCCATAACTAACCCAAAAACCACCCTGAAACTGCCCCAAAACCACCCTGGAACTACCCTGAAACCACCCTGAAACTGCCCCAAAACCACCTGGAACTACCCTGAAACCACCCTGAAACTGCCCCAAAAACCACCCTGGAACTGCCCATAACTAACCCAAAAACCACCCTGAAACTGCCCAAAAACCACCCTGAAACAACCCTGAAACAACCCAAAAACAACCCTGGAACTGCCCCAAAAACCACCCTGAAACTGCCCCCAAAACCACCCTGAACTACCCCTGAAACCACCCTGAAACTGCCCCAAAAACAACCCTGGAACTGCCCCAAAAACAACCCTGAAACTCCCCCCAAAACCACCCTGGAACTGCCCCAAAACCACCCTGGAACTACCCTGAAACCACCCTGGAACTGCCCCAAAAACCACCCTGGAACTGCCCATAACTAACCCAAAAACCACCCTGAGACCACCCCAAACCATCCCGAAACCAAAAAAGTACCCCAAAACCCCTTAAATCTCCAAAATTATCCTGAAACCACTCTGAAACAACCGAAAACCATCCCCAAAAGCCATCTCAAAATTATCCCAAACCATCCTGAAATTGCCCCCAAACCATCCTGAAACTACTCCAAACCACACAGAAACAACCCCAAACCAGCCCAAAACTAACCCAAAACCACCCTGGAACTATCCCAACACCACCCAAAACCCTTAAACCGCCCAAACCCACCCAAAATCACCCCAACCCCCCCAAAACCCCTTAAATATCCAAATGCACCCCAAAACCACCCCAAGCTCCCCAAAACCACCCTGAAACCACCCCAAACCACCCTGAAATGATCCCAAAACTACCCCAAAATCCTCAAACCCCCCGTGGTCCCCTCACCCCACAGTGTCCCCAGTGTCCCCTCATCCCTGGTGTCCCTCTGATGTCCCCCTGTGACACAGGTGGCACATGGGACCCGTGCTCCTCTGGTGTCCACTGCAGTGTCCCCGATGTCCGCTGACCCCTCATGTCCCTGGTGTCCCTCTGATGTCCCCACAGTGTCCCCAATGTCCCCAATGTCCCCCGGTGTCCCCACAGGCACGCAGGTGGCACAGGGGGACCCGCTGTCCCCTCTGATGTCCCCACAGTGTCCCCAATGTCCCCGGTGTCCCCACAGGCACGCGGGTGGCACAGGGGGACCCGCTGTCCCTCTGATGTCCCCACAGTGTCCCCAATGTCCCCAATGTCCCCAATGTCCCCGGTGTCCCCACAGGCACGCGGGTGGCACAGGGGGACCCGCTGTCCCTCTGATGTCCCCACAGTGTCCCCAATGTCCCTGGTGTCCCCACAGGCACGCAGTGACACAGGGGGACCCGCTGTCCCTGTGGTGTCCCCACAATGTCCCCAATGTCCCCAATGTCCCCAATGTCCCCGGTGTCCCCACAGGCACGCAGGTGACACAGGGGGACCCGCTGTCCCTCTGATGTCCCCAATGTCCCCAATGTCCCCGATGTCCCCACAGGCACGCAGGTGACACAGGGGGACCCGGTGTTCCCGGAGCAGCCGGACGCCACCGGCACCTTCCCGGACGGGACCCCCCTGCCCCGGGGCCGGCGCGGGAAGTTCGTCTACGTCTGGTGGACCTGGGGTGAGTGAGGTGGCACCGCTGTCCCCAGGGTGCCACCCGCTGTCCCCAGGGTGGCACCGAATCCCTCTGGTGGCACCGCTGTCCCCAGGGTGGCACCGCTGTCCCCAGGGTGGCACCAAGCCTGCTGAGGTGGCACCGAGCCCGCCATGGGGGCACTGACACTGCTGTGGTGGCACTGAGCCCACTGTGGTGACACTGACTTCGTGTGGTGGCACCGTCCCCACTGCCCCACTGTCCCCAGGGCGGTACTGGCAGGTGCTGGACGGGCCGGTGTCCCCGCTATGGTGGCACTGTCCCTGCTATGGTGGCACTGTCCCCACTGTCCCCACTGTCCCCAGGGCGGTACTGGCAGGTGCTGGACGGGCCGGTGTCCCCGCTATGGTGGCACTGTCCCCATGGTGACACTGTTGTCCCCAGGGGCGGTACTGGCAGGTGCTGGACGGGCCGGTGTCCCCGCTATGGTGGCACTGTCCCCATGGTGACACTGTTGTCCCCAGGGCGGTACTGGCAGGTGCTGGACGGGCCGGTGTCCCCCGCTATGGTGGCACTGTCCCCATTGTCCCCCACTGTCCCCAGGGCGGTACTGGCAGGTGCTGGACGGGCCGGTGTCCCCGCTATGGTGGCACTGTCCCCACTGTCCCCACTGTCCCCAGGGCGGTACTGGCAGGTGCTGGACGGGGCCGGTGTCCCCGCTATGGTGGCACTGTCCCCATGGTGACACTGTTGTCCCCAGGGCGGTACTGGCAGGTGCTGGACGGGCCGGTGTCCCAGCTCACGGTGGACACGCAGGGGGTGGCGCTCGCTCCTACACCATGGAGGTCACCGTGTACCACGCCCGGGGACGGCAGAAATTCGTCCCCATCGGCCACGGCAGCAGCCAGTTCAGTGTCACCGGTGGGTGACAGCGGGGGGACACCGGGGGGTGACAACGGGACACCGGGGGGGCACGGGATGGGTGACACAGGGGGCACAGGGTGGGGGGATTTGGGATGGGAAATGGGGGGACTTGGGGTGGGGGGTGGTGGGTGAAGGGGTGCAGGTGACACTGGGTGCTGGTGACACGGTGTGGGTGACACTGGGTGTGGGTGACACTGGGTGTGGACGGCACTGGGCGCAGGTGACACTGGGCGCAGGTGACACTGGGTGCTTGAGCTATAGGTGACACTAGATGTGGGTGACACCGGGTGCTGAGGCTGGAGGTGACATCAGGTGTAGTTGACACTGGCTGTAGTGACAGTGCAGATGACGCTGGGTCATTGTCCCCTCGCTGTCCCCACCCTCACCGTGTCCCCACACTGTCCCTACACTGTCCCCACCCTCACCGTGTCCCCACGCTGTCCCCAACTGTCCTCTCACCCTCACGCTGTCCCCGCTCTGTCCCCTTGCTGTCCCCAACTGTCCCCATACCTCACCGTGTCCCCTTGCTGTCCCCACCCTCACCGTGTCCCTGGCTGTCCCCACACTGTCCCCCCCCTCACGCTGTCCCCTCACTGTCCCCAACTGTCCCCATACCCTCACCGTGTCCCCTTGCTGTCCCCACCCTCACCGTGTCCCTGGGCTGTCCCACACTGTCCCCCCCCTCACCGCTGTCCCCTCACTGTCCCCAACTGTCCCCATTACCCCTCACCGTGTCCCTTGCTGTCCCCACCCTCACCGTGTCCCCTCGCTGTCCCCTCGCTGTCGCCCCCTCACGCTGTCCCCGCGCTGTTCCCCTCGCTGTCCCCACACTGTCCCCCGCTCTGTCCCCTCGCTGTCCCCTCGCTGTCGCCCCCTCACGCTGTCCCCTCGCTGTCCCCACGCTGTCCCCTCGCTGTCCCCTCGCTGTCCCCACGCTGTCCCCGCTCTGTCCCCGCTCTGTCCCCTCGCTGTCGCCCCCTCACGCTGTCCTCACGCTGTCCCCGCTCTGTCCCCTCGCTGTCCCCTCGCTGTCGCCCCCTCACGCTGTCCCCGCTCTGTCCCCGCTCTGTCCCCTCGCTGTCGCCCCCTCACGCTGTCCCCTCGCTGTCCCCAGACCAGGTGCCGCTCTCGGTGTCGGTGTCGCAGCTCCCGTGGCCGTGCCCGGTGCCGGTGCCGGCGCCTTCGTGCGGAACCGCGCGGTGGCGTTCGCGGTGCGGCTGCACGACCCGAGCCGGTACCTGCGCCGCGCGACGTGTCCTTCTCGTGGGACTTCGGCGACCAGAGCGGGGACCCTGAT